GTTCTTAAAAAACTGCAACCATGATTTAAAAAGATCTTGACTATTGTTTTCTAATTTTATTTCAGAATTTTAATTTCTTTAAACTTCCCAAACTATCTGTATTTGCACTATATGTACCCTACCTGTTCTTTAGAGTTGGTGGGAAGAGGGTGGGTTATGTATGTGAAGGCTTTCTATAGAAAGTGACATCAAAGTGAAATTTGAAGAATTAATAGGAATTACTTATTAGGGGGAGGCAGACTGGACAACAATGAATGTGCAATAGTACATTTCTAGAACTGAAACAATAGTACATAATGGCTAAAAGAAAGATTATAATGAGAATATTGATGGTTTAAACTAGAGAGGTAACCAGGAGTCAGATCATGAAGACCCATCCTAAGAAATATATATTTTATTTTGAGGACAATGGGGAGCCATGCAAGTGTTTTAAACTGGGGAGAAGGAGAATGAATCAGAGTTGTGTTTTAGGTAGAGCACTCTCTATAAATGGGTAAACGATTGGAAAAAATGAGTCTGGTAATAGGCTAAATAGGAACATGAACTAAATCCTCAGAAATGGTTTGTTAAATTGAAGTGGAAAACTGAAGAATAGGTGTGGGATAGATATTGAGGAGATTATGGGTGGGAGAGGGAGAGGAAAAGGTTATCCCAAAACTTGCTGCTCTCTAAATAGATGCAACCTTGTCTGATTTCAGAGAGAAGTATCCCTTTACAGCTACAATTCATTTTTTCCAGACAACTATTCATGCATTTTTTTCAACTAATATTATTGACCACCTTCTATAAGTTAGGCAATGTTTTAGGCTTGGAGATACCACAGAACAAATTCCCTGCCTTCTTGTGGTTTACAGGTTTTTCCTAGTGGGAGGAGGCAGACTATAAACAGAAATGCAAGTAGAACAAAAGGGACAAAAAGTATGGGCAGTGTACTGATGGTGGTGAGGATTTTCATTTAATGTATCATAGTGAAGGAAGTCCTTATTGATTAGGCAACATATGAACAAAAACTTGAAGGAATCAAGAGGTATCCATGAGGAAAGTAAGGAGTCCAATAGTGGTGGAGTGGAATACAAAGGGCAGAGTGACAGAAGATGAGGTGAAAGAAGGGCATGGAGAAAACATTATGTAGAACCTTGTAAAGCATTATCCTTAAACATATGTTTTGTTTTGTTTTATTCTGTGTGAGATGGGGAGCTATTAGAGGGTTTTGGGCAGAAGTGTGACATGATCATTTCAAATGATCACTATAACCCTGGCCGGTTTGGCTCAGCAGTTAGAGTGTTGGCCTGTAGAGCAGAGAGTCCCGGGTTTGGTTCCCACTGAGGGCACATACCTCGGTTGCAGTTTGTCCCCGGTCCCAGCCGGGGCCATGTGGGTGACAACCAGTCGATGTGTCTCTCTCATGTCGATGTTTCTCTCTCTCTTTTCCTCTTTCTCTCCCTCCCGCTCTATTTGAAGATAAATGCAAAATGTGTCCTCGGGTGAGGATAAAAAAAAAGATCAGCCCTGGCCGGTTTGGCTCAGCGGTTAGAGCGTCGGCCTGCGGTCCGGAGAGACCCGGGTTCGGTTTCCGCTAAGGGCACGTACTTCGGTTGCAGTTTGTCCCCGGCCCTGGTTGGTCGTGCGGGTGGCAGCCATTCGATGTGTCCCTTTCACGTCGATGTTTCTCTCTCTCTCTCCCTTCCTCTCTCTCCCTCCCACTCTATCTGTACAAAAAAAAAAAAAAGATCACTGTAGCCCCTGTTTGAGAATAAATATTAATGGAGAAAGGGTGAAAGCAGGGAAACCAAACAGGAGAATACTGTAAAAATCCAAGTGGGTAATAATAGGTACTTGCACCAGGGTAGCAATGGTGGAGGGGGTAAGATATAAAGTCTCTGAATATATTTTTAAGATAGAGCCAATAAGCCCTGTCTGGATAGCTCAGTTGGCTAGAATGTCATCCCTACATGCCAAGGTTGCAGGTTCAATCCCTGGTCAGGGCACATACAAAAGCAACCAATGAATACATAAATAAGTGGAACAACAAAATGATGTGTTTTTTTCTCTCTCTCCCTTCTTATCTATCTCTAAAACAAATCAATAAATGAAAAGAGAAAATGAAGATAGAGCCAACAAGATTTCCTAAAAGATAGGATATGGGATATAAGAATATTATAGGAGTTAAAAATGATTTCCAAGGTTTTTGTCATAAGCATCTGAAAGGAAGGAGTTGCCATATACTGAATTGGGAAAGACTGGTAGGAAAAGCAGGTTGAAAGGAGACTATCAAGAGTTTACTTTTGGATACATTAAGGCCATTTAGATAATCAGGTGGACATGTTGAATAGACAGCTGGATACATGAGTCTGAAGTTTAAAAGTGATGTATAGGCTACATATATAAAATAGGGACACATGAGCACATAGATTGCTTTTAAAGTTATGAAACTAGCCCTGGCCGGTTTGGCTCAGCGGTTAGAGCACTGGCCTGAGGTCCAGAGAGACCTGGGTTTGGTTCCTGCTAAGGGCATGTACCTCGGTTACAGTTTGTCCCCGGCCCTTGTTGGGTCCTACAGGAGGCAGCCACTGATGTGTCCCTTTCACATCGACATTTCTCTCTCTCTCTCTCCCTCCCTCCCACTTTATCTGAACAAAAAATGGGAAAATGTCCTCGGGTGAGGATAAAAAAAAAATAATGGAAAGATTAAATTATGAAACTAGATACAATTACCACAAGTAAAACAGAATGGATAGAGAAGAGGTATACAAGTACTGAGTCCTGATTACTCAAAGATTTAGAAGTCTGGGTTATGAGGCATGAGAAGGAGCAGCCAATGAGGCAGGAGGAGAAGAGAAAGAAAGAAGGAAGAGGAGGGGACAGGGTGAATAGAAGGTGAAGATGTGTCCTGGATGCTAAATGAAGAAAGCATTTTAGGGAAGAAGTAAGTTGTCATTTGGGTTAAATACTGCTGAACAGTCAAATAAGATGAGGAATGAGAACTGACCAGTGAATTTAGCACCTTGGAAGTTGTTGACAAGAATGGTTCATGGAATGGCAGGGGTAAAAGTAATTGGTAGGAGAAAAATTGGAGACAGCAAGTGGAGCCCACACTTTGGAGAAGTTCTGCTGCAAAGGGTAGAAGAAATGTGGGGGCAATACTTGAATAAAGAAATTAGATCAAAAGAAGTATTCTTTTGTTATTTAAGTATGGAAAAAATATCAGCTTGTTTATATGCTGGTAGCAATAAACCAAAAAAGGGGGGGAAGATGATAGTGCAAGAGAAAAAAAGGATGTTGCTTGATGATGTCTTTGAATACAGGAGGAGGTGACATATAGTGTACAAGTCCAGGGGTTGGCCTTAGAAAGGAGTATACATTTTTCATAGTAGGAGAGAATGCAAAGACAAAGAGCCTATACTGGTGGGTAGATGTGATAGTGGGAGTTTGGGATACAATTTTTTTAAAAATTTATCTTTATTGTTGAAATTATTACAGATGCCCCCCCACAACTGATACCCTCCTTTCCACTCCCCACCCTTCACCACACTGTCTGTGTCCATTGGTTATGCATAACATCCTTTTTAAATTGTTTTTCTCTTCCTTTCTTTTTTTAATGTTTCACAAAATTGCGTGTCATTTTCCAATTTTTGTATATGTGGTGCCGAAGCAAGCACAATTGCTTTTCTTTTTTTCAGTGAAAGAGGAAGCTGAGAGTTTGTTGGGCAGAGGAGGCACTGGAAGTTTGAGGACAGAAAAGAAGATATGAAATAGTCCACTTAAAAAAAATATTGATTTGGATTGATTTAGATTTGGAGTTAGAAAACTCGATTTTGACTCCCGGATTTCCCACTCATCAGATGTTTAAAATTTTAATTTGTCTCTTCATCCTCTCAGGTATTCAGTTTCTTTATGGATAAAATAGAGATACCTACAGCCAGAATTTTTTGTTTTGTTTTGTTTGAGGATTAAATAACAGAATGTGAAAGAAAAGGATTTTCCAAAGTTATTTGTACATGAAAAATATTTTAACATTTGAATCCACTAATCAAGAACTTTTTTTGTAAGCATTGTCATGTGTTTTACATAACATTATCATATTTAATCCTTACACTGACCCCTGAGGTAAGGAATTCTCATCCTACTTTACTGTTGGGAATTTGAGCTTCTGAGGTATTAAGAATCTTGCCCAAGGTTCAGAAGTTTGTAGAAGGTGGAGCGGCATTCCAACCAAGGAGTTAAACTATCCTCTTCCAAGACATTATTTTCTTTTTGATTAGCTAAAGTCTGGCAATTTACTGCTTTTTATAAAGGTCTTCTTGGTACTCCTTGAGGATGAAGAAAGCTCAGTAGTTAGTTCATTTTGTATACTCATGAGGTCAAAAGTAGTTTTGACTTTTGATTAGTCTAATGTCAGGAGATGAAACAGTGAGGACTGATATGAGAGAGGTTCTGTTGCCAGATTTTTAGGAGAAATGTCTTTAAAAAATATATTTTCAAGTATTAAAAATGCAGATTCTATTTCCCAACTCTATAAGCTGGACCGCGGCACGCATGCCTCCGAGGGGAGACAGCAAGGTGGTTTCCATCCCCGAGAGGTGGGTTGGAGGGAGGTCGATCTCGCAGGGGTGAGGAGGAGTTGCGCGAGTTTGGGGGCAGGCGTAAGGTAAGTGTCTGGGGTGCGGGCGGCGGAAGGGTGACGGTTGGCCTCTGACTGGGCGGAGTAGTGGTCGGCGGGGAGGGGGTGGGGAGAGGGTAGGAGAGGGTGGGGAGGGCTCCTCCCGGGGCGGGCCAGCGGCAGGCCAGCCTCTGCAGGCGCCGGGTGAGGCTGCTGCGGGCGCGTGCGCGTGCGCGTCGCTACGCGGGGCGTTTCAAAAGACTTGCTGCTGGGACCGAACGGCGCGAGCCCTGTGACCCACGCTGTTCAGAAGCCTCCGGGAGCGGGTCGGCCCCACCTCTTGCGGGATTCCGGCCCCAGCTCGACGCCCGCTCTGTCCTCACGCCCCGCCGGCGGGGGTTGCCATGGTTCACTTCTTACACCCGGACGTCTCGCCCCGGACCATCGTTCCTCCAGACGCCCAGAAGGATGCCCTGGGGTGCTGCGTGGTGCAGGTGAGCGTGGGGCAGGGGCTGGGGCGGGGGCTGGGGCGGGGGCCGGGGTGGGGGCCAGGGTGGGGGCCAGGGTGGGGGCCGCGGTGGGGGTGGGGGCGGGGACGGGGACGGCGGGACGCCGGGTGCCGGGAGACTGCGGCGCGTCGTCGGGGACGGTGCGGAGGCACTCGTTGGTTACTTTGGCCAGCACGGCTGTAAAGTTTGAAGAGGCTGAGCTGCCAGACTCGTCGTCGCCGGGGAAGTGCAAGCTGAAGGGAGTTTTCTGCCCAGGGCGTCGAAGCCTCCCTGTCGGACGCGGCGACCTGGCGCGGCTGAGTGGAGGCGCCGCGAGAGCGAGCCCCCCGCCCCCGTGACCTTGGGCGTCCCCTCGGGTCTCCGACTCTCACCTGTGCGGTTGCCGCTGTCTTACCGGGTTGTGTAAGATTAGACTAAGTGCTGGACATAGCACTAGGCCTGGCCCTTGTAGACGGTGGTGCTTATTGTCGTAATGAACCCAAATGCCCTAAACCTCGACGGTTTCCCCGTGTGCGTTGTGGCGGCGTTACTCCCCAGAGGCTGCGACCCCTCGACCCCTACTGCCCGAGTCCTTGGCTCCAGGTACCGGAACCAGAAGACCCTTCGGCGCTCGGCTCAGGGAACTGGAAACCCCAAAGGCTGAAATGCCTTCAATTTCATGTGTATTTTAAACCTGGAGTTTAAACTAAACTCTGAGCAAACTGCAAACCAAACGCGTATTTGGTGCCTCCTGGTGTGTTAAGTAGAATCGCATTTCTAAAGTAAATTCTATTATCTTTTTTTTTTCGGGGTGGGGGAGGGGTTGGCACTATAGGCTCCATTTTTTTTTTTTTTTTTTTTTTTAATTGATTTGAGCCCTGGCCGGTTTGGCTTAGCAGTTAGAGCATCGGCCCGCGGTCCAGAGAGACCCGGGTTCGGTTCCTCGGTTGCAGTTTGTCCCCGGCTCCGGTTGGGGTTGTGAGGGAGGCAGTCACTCGATGTGTCCCTTTCACGTCGATGTTTCCCTCCCCCCTTCCCTCCCCTCCCCTCCCACTCTATCTGAACAAAAAGGAAAAATGCCCTCCGGTGAGGATTAAAAAATTGATTTGAGAGAGAGAGAGGAAGTGAGAGGGAGAGAGAGAAACATTATGACCGAGAACATCCATTGGCCACCTCCTGCATGCCCCCCACTGGGGATCCAGCCCACAACCTGGGGGCATGTGTCCTGACCGGAATCGAACCTGCGGCCTCTAGGTGTGCATGGGGGTCCATGCTCAAGCACTGAGCCACACTGGCTGGACATATAGGCTCCATTTTTACTGGTGTGTAGAGCAGTTGAGAACTCTGAAAATGGGTTTGCTTAAGACCTTGAACTTGACATCAGATGTTAACAATATTAGACTCCACATTCCACAACAAAAACCCTTTGAGAACTCAAAATCTAGTCAAGGCTCAACCCAAAGTTAGTACAGAGGGAAGGGAATATTTTGATTGACCTACCAGCTTTACCTAGTGCTTTACCTACTAGCGCCTTGTTGGAGGGTTTTTGTGCCCTGCAAAGATCTACCCGGTACTCCTGTAGTACTCTTTTGGACTTAACTTTTTTTTTTTTCAATTTGTTTTTCCTTTATTGATTTTAGAGAGAGAGGAAGGGAGATGGAGAGAGAGAAACATCTATAAGAGAGAACATCGAGTGGCCGCCACCTACCTGCCTCCCTCTGGGGACCCGGCCTAAAACCTGGGCATGTGTCCTGACTGGGAATCGAACCAGTGACCTCTTGGTGCATGGGTCTATGCTCAACCACTGAGCCACACCAGTTGGACTGGACTTACTTTTATTTTTCTTTTTATTTATTTTTTTATCCTCACCCGAGGACATTTTTCCATTTCTTGTTCAGATAGTGTGGGGGAGAGAGAGAGAGAGTGAGAAACATCGACGTGAAAGGGACACATCAAGTGGCTGCCACCCACACAACCGGACCAGGGCCAGGGACAAACTGCAACCGAGGTACCAAGGTGCCCTTAGTGGGAACCAAATCCGGGTCTCTCTGGACCAACCGCTGAGCCAAACCAGCCAGGGCTGGACTGGACTTACTTTTAAAAGCTGCTACATAATTTGTAATTTGTAGCTAATTGAGAAACTGAGTTTTAAAGTATGTACTGCACAGGGTCTCAAGCACATTTTTTTTTGTTGTTGCAGCCAGTTGGTCTTGAAATGCAAGATTTTCTTTAGAAAACATCAGACCAATCCATTTTTTTTCCTTGTTCGGGTCTTTGTACACTCATTTCCTTTCTAAAATTTCATATGTATATTTTATCTAGTTTTAGAGAGAGAGGAAGGGAGAGTGAGAGAGAAACATCAATCAGTTGCCTCCTGCATGTGCCCCAACCCAGAATAGAACCAGCAACCTTTATGTACATGGAAGGATGCCCAACCAACTGAGCTACAAGGACCAGGGCATATGATTTTATGTATTAATTTTTATATATTTAAGAATTTTTTTGTTTATTGATTTTAGAGAGAGAGGAAGGTAGAGGGAGGGAGAGATAGAAACATCGATGAGAGAGAACATCGATTGGCTGCCTCCTGCATGCCCCTCACTGGGGATTTGGCCCATAACCTGGGCATGTGCCCTGACTGGGAATCAAACTGGCTCCCTCTTGGTGCATAAGTTGATGCTCAACCACTGAGCCACACCGGCCGGGCTATTTAATTAATTTTTAAAATTACATAATGCATGAATACATTTTCCCCTATGATATATATTTCTCCATTTATTTATGTTGTCTTTAATTTTATAGCAGTGTTTTGCAGTTTTTGGTGTTAAGGTCTTTCATTACATATTTTGCTAACTCTATCCCTGCTTTTTTTTTTATCCTCACCTGAGGACATTTTTGCATTTATCTTCAGATAGAGTGGGAAGGAGAGGGAGAGGAAGAGAGAGAGAGAAACATTGACATGAAAAGGACACATTGAGTGGCTGCCTCCCACACGACCCAACCAGGGCCGGGGACAAACTGCAACCGAGGTACGTTGTGGGTCCCTTAGTGGGAACCAAATCTGGGTCTCTCTGGACTGCAGGCCAGCACTCTAACCGTTGAGTAAAACTGGCCAGGGCCCTGCTTTTTTGATACTACTGTAAATATTTTTTAAAAAATTTATGGAACTTTTTTTTAAATGTTTTTATTATTATTATTATTTTTTTTTTTAGAGAGAGAGAAAGAGGAAGGGAAACGGAGAGAGAGAGAGAGAGAGAGAGAGAGCATGAGAGAAAGAAACATCGATGTGAGAGAGAACATTGATCGGTTGCCTTCTGAAATCCACAACCTGGTCATGTGCCCTGACTAGGAATTGAACCCTCGACTTTTTGGTGCACAGGATGCTGCTCAACCAATCGAGCCATACTGGCCAGGGCTGTGAAACTTTTTTGATATATTGATCCTATATCCTACAACTTTGCTAAAATCACTTACTTTTTCTAGTTGTGTTTTGTCAAACTTTCTTAAGATTTTCTTGCAATTGTGTCATCTGCGAATAAAGACAGCTTTACTTATTCCTTTTCAGTCAATGCTTTTTATATCCTTTTTCAAAACTGCATTATCTAGATCCTCTTATAGAATGTTAGAGAAGTGGTGAGGGTAGACATTTTTTTAAGAAGTTTTCTTTATTGATTTTTTTTTTTTTAGAGAGAGAGAGAAAGGGAGAGAGGGAGAGAGAGAGAGAGAAACATTGATGAAAGAGAACATTGATTGGCTGCCTCCTGCATGCCCCTCTCTGGGGATTTGGCTCACAACCTGGACATGTGTTCTGACCTCCTTAGTGCATGGGTCGATGTTCAACCACTGAGCCACACTGGCCGGGCTGCATTGTTCTAGATCTTGGACCTTTAAGCATGATACTTGCTGTAGGTTTTCCATAGATGCTGTTTATCAAGGTAAAGAAGTTTTCTTTCAATCCTAGTTTGCTGTGAGTTTTTTATAAATTGGTTTTTAGAGAGAGGGAAGGAGGGGGGAGAGAAAGAGAGAAACATCCACAGTTATTTATTCATTGATTGATTGATTCTTGTATGTATCCTTGCTGGGGATGGAACCCGCAACCGTGGCATATTGGGACACTAGTCTAACCAACTGAGCTACCTGGCCAGGGTGAGAGAACTTACTTTTCTTTTTTTAAAAATAGGTTTTTATTGATTTTCAGAGGGAGAAAGAAACATCCATCACCTGCCTCCTGTATGCCCCCTACTGGGTATCAAGCCCACAGCTCAGGCATATACCCTGATTAGGAATTGAACTGGCGACCACTTGATGGTTCAGTGCTCAACCACTAGCCACATCGGCTGGGCAAGAGAGACCTTAGTTTTCAAGATATAACAGAAATTACAACAAATGAAATCTTCTATTCAGTTAATAGTTGGAATAAGGTGGTTTCATTAAATATAGATCATTATTAGAGTAAGAAGAGTATATTTTTAGATGTACTCATCAAGTAGTTTGATGTATAGCATAACCACTTTTATGTTGAATTTTTGCACTTTGTTTGGGTGTTTTTTTGCTAGGAGGAGGCATCTCCCTACTCTTTGGTCAACATCTGCCTGAATGTCCTGATTACTAACCTGGAGAAATTGTGTTCTGAAAGATCTGATGGAACACTATGCTTTCCAAAGTATTGGAGTTTCCCTCAGGAATTAGCTGATCAGTTCCTTGGGATGATGACTTGGCAAGGTAATGATAAGGCTCCTTTATCATGTACTCTTACAGCACTCTTTACAATTTTAAAAGCACTTTCACTGCAGTGATTTTAGAGAGAGAGGAAGAGAGGGAGACGGAGAGAGAAAAACATCGATTGGTTGCCTCCCACACATAACCTGACTAAGGATTGAACCTGCAACCTGGGCACTTACCCTGACCAGGGAATTGAACTAGTGACCATTTATTTGGTGCACAGAACGACACTCAACCAACTGAACAACACCAGCCAGGACCCAACTCCTATTTTGTTTCTCACACAGTATGGTGGGAAATAGAGAAATTATTTCTATTTTATTTGTGTGGAGGTTGAGTCTGAGTTTCTCTGGCATCCCTTGGTGGAAAATGTCTTGCATTCAGGCTTGCCCTGCTATTGTCTTAGTTAAGTGAAGGCAAAGGATAATTAAGTCAGGTTATCACTCAGCTGTCTGCTCTGTAGATATGCTGAAATGCAGTTGCTGTAGTCTTGTCTCCCATTCTTTTAATTGTGAACATGGGCCTTTAAATAATTTTCTTTTATGTCCCATTATAGTGGGGTGTTCAAAGGGCTAGGTCTAATTTGCCATGTTACAGTTTTTCCTTAATGAAAAAAAATTTTTTAGTAACATTGAGATGTAATTTATATACCATGTAATTCACCCACTTAAAGTTTATAAATCAGTGGTTATTTTTAGTGCATTTAGATGGATTTATGAAGCCATCATCACAATTTTAGAACATTTTCTTCACTTCAAAAAGAAGCTTCTTATTCATCCCCCCGTAACCTAAATAACCTCTAATTTTATTTTCTACCTCCATGGATTTGCCTATTCTGAACATTTAATATAAATGGAATCATGCAATATGTGGCTTTTTGTGTCTGGCTTCTTTCACTCAGCATAATGTTATCAAGGTTCATCTATGTTGTAGCATCAACCATTACTTCATTTTTTTTTCTTTTTGCTGTTCTGATGCTGTTTTTTGCTTCTTTGTATTCCAAATCGCTGATTTGATTCTCTACCTCATTTGCTCTAATGTTAATTCCCTTTTTTTTCATTTCAGTTAGTTTATCCTTCATTTCTGTTTATATGGTGTACTACATTAATTGCTCTTTGGATGTTGATTTAACCTTGGTTATAGTGTGTAATTCTTTTTTTTGTTTTTTGTTTTAATTGTCATATCCGGGGATATGATTTTATTTATTTTTATTTATTTATTTATTTATTTATTTTTTATCCTCACCCGAGGATATTTTTCCATTTTTTGTACAGATAGAGTAGGAGGGAGAGAGAGGAAGGGAGAGAGAGAGAGAAACATCGACGTGAAGGGACACATTGAGTGGCTGCCACCCGCACGACCAACCAGGGCCGGGGACAAACTGCATCTGAAGTACGTGCCTTTAGCGGGAACCGAACCCGGGTCTCTCCGGACCGCAGGCCGATGCTCTAACCGCTGAGCCAAACTGGCCAGGGCTATTTTTGTTTATTTATTTAGTTTTTTCTTGATGACCTAAACCTCTTTATTTTATTTATTTATTTTTTATTATGATATTTTAAAATTATTTTTATTAATTTATTTTTGCTACAGATATTTCTCCTTTTTCTCCCAAGGGATATGATTTTACTGATTTGAGAAAGAGAAACATGCATGTGAGAGAAACATTGATTGGCTGTTTTTTGCATGCATCTTGACTGGAGATTGAACCTGCAACCTAGGTGTGTGCCCTGACTGGAAATCGAACCCATGATCCTTTGGTGCACAGCCGATGCTCTAACCACTGAGAAACACCGGCTAGGACAACATTTTTTTTGTTTTAAATCCTCACCTGAGGACATTTTTCCATTATCTTCAGACAGAGTTGTGGGGCCGGGAAGAGAGAGACATCGATGTGAGAAAGGCACTTCAATTGGTTGCCTCCCGCACGATTCCAACCAGGGCCAGGGCCAAACCGCAATCAAGGTATATTGCCTTGACTGGAATTGAACCCATGACTCTTTGGTCCATGGGCCGACACACTTTAATTGCTGAGCCAAACCGGCCAAGGCCCAGGACAAAATTTTTTAGTTTTAAAAGTATGACAGCTGTTAGTACAAATCTCTCACTTCTTTAACATGTACTTTTCATCCTATGATACATAGTTTAGTATTATGATGCATTTTAAAATGGAACAATTTAATGCCAAAACCTGAGTTGCTTCAACGTGACGAGAAGATGTAAAGCTGGTACTTCATCATATTGAATTTCAGCTTATAATTTATTGTCTTGTGCTAGTTTGGTATATACTGCCATGGTAGCGATGCTAGGTGGGGTTCCTTCTTCCTCTGATTGTTCTTCAATCTTTGGAACACCAGGCACATCAGAGGAAAGTTCATTCAGTATTTTTTTCATTAAGAGGGTCTCCTTGAAAGGATATCTACGTGTATAAGAATCAGTTACATCTTCTGTTTCTGCAGACTCATCTGTCTGTGTAGTTGTTACTACCTGAACAGGTTTTATTTGTGGTGACTGAATAATGGATAGCTGTGGACTCTGAATTACTCCCTGGGCATGTACAGTTTGGCCCAAGATAACTGTACTAGAATTATAGCGGGGGGGGGGTCCTCTTCCGGTGTGTGATCCAGCTATAGAAACCTTAGATTTGTCTTAATTTTTTTGTGCCACATTTGCTCATTATTAAGACATTTATATTTAATCTTTGCTTATATTTAATCTTTGCTTCTTCCTTGTTTTCTTTGTCCTGCCATGAAAGGATTTACTTAGCATCTCTCTTCAGGGCGTCCTCACTGCTTATGGACACGAGGAGGTGGAAACAGTGAGCCTTGCCCAGCAACTCTGTGCGGCTCCAGCAATGGTCCAAATTTTCTTTTTTTAATCGACACAATTAGAGCTACAAATTTCCTTCAAGCATTACTTTAACCACATTCCATTAGTTTTTTGTAAGTTGTCTTCATTTTTCATTTATCTATCTCAAATTAGTTTCTAATTTTCTTTCCATTTCTTCTTTGAGCCACCCCCTTTTTTTAATGTATTGTGTCATTTCCACATACTTGCGATTTTCCCAGATTTCTTTGTTATGCTTTTTAATTTCATTTTATTGTAGTTGGAGAACATACTTTGTGTTATTTAAACTCCGTATGAACTTATTGTTTTGTGGCCTGATACAAGACCTGTTCTGGAGAATGTTCCATATGCCGTGAGGTAATTGAAAAAAAAAAGTGTATTCTGCTATTATTGAGTTCTATTAGCTCTAGTTGGTTTATCTTCTAATCTTCTGTTTCCTTGTTGGTATTCTACCTAGTTATTCTATATTGAGAAAGTCTTCAATTATTTTTTTTTTGTTATTTATGCTAAAATAAAATATACCTGTAGTTCTAATAAGTTTAACAGGAAAGAGGGGGAAAGGGTGTGGTAATTTCTTATGAAGGTGCAGATGGGGGTAGGGATAGCATGGACCTGTTACATACAGAAAGGAAAAAGCCAATGAAGAGGGGAATGTTAAAAATATGAGCTGAAAAGTGATGATGCAAGGTCTTAAAGGTGACTGAGTATTCGAATCATGAGCCTGGGTGAATAGGGTTTGTGTTAGAAGGAAGAAGTGACAGATAACTAAGAAAGAAAGTAGAGATGGTGATTCAAGAGCTGTGTTTGGTGTTGGTGGTGAGGAAAATCATTTTGAAGGATTCTTGGTTATTTGCTGGCTGAAGAGTGGTGATGAAATAAGGATTTATTTTTTTTATTTGAGGTTAGGAATAACCAATTTTTAATAATAGTGTTTATTGACTTTCCCCAGCCAGGTGACTTTCCCCTCTCCAGTTGGTTGGAGAGTCATCCCATACACCAAAAAGGTTGCAGGTTTGATTTCTGGTCAGGGCACATACCTAGGTTGTGGGTGTGATCCCCAGTCAGGGCGTGTATGGGAGGCAACAAATCGATATTCCTCACATCATTGTTTTTCTCTCTCATCCTTTCATCTCTTTCTAAAATCAATAAACATATCCTTGGGTGAGGATTTTAATAATTTCATTAAAAAAAAAGAATTTATAAGATAACCTTACAAGGGTGAAAATCCTAGAAATTTGGTGACTAAGGCTGAAGGTTGGGAACTATTGCGTGGTTTATTTTATTTTTTAGAGAGAGGAAGGGAGAGGGAGAGAGAGATAGAAACATTGATGAGAGAGAACAGTCAGTGGCCACCTCCTGCATGCCCCCCACTGGGGATCAGGCCCACAACCTGGGCATGTGCCCTGACTGGGAATCAAACTGGTGACCTCCTGGCGCATGGATCAGGCTCAACCACTGAGCCACACTGGCTGGGCCTATTGCTATGGTTTAAATGAGAGTTAATTAAGGACAAAAACTTCAAGAAAACAGTATTTCCCAGTTGAGGAGATAAATCATGTTATTTAAGTTTAATAATATAGCCATTAAAGTTATAATGACTGCCCTAGCCGGTTTGGCTCAGCAGTTAGAGCATCAGCCTGTGGTCTGGAGAGACTCGGGTTCAGTTTCCACTAAGGGCATGTACCTCTGTTGCAGTTTGTCCCCAGCCCTGGTTGGGTCGTGCGGTTGGCGACCACTCGATGTGTCCCTTTCACATCGATGTTTCTCTCTCTCTCTTCCTCTTTCTCCCTCCCTCTCTATCTGAACAAAGAATGGAAAAATGTCCTTGGGTGAGGATTAAAAAAAAAAAGTTACTATGACTAATACTTCAGGAGACACTACTAAGAACTTCATGTGCATACTCACCCCTTTTTACAGATGAAGAAAATGAGGATCAGAGAGATGATGAGTTAACTTTTTTTTTATTTTTTATTTTTTTATCCTCACTCGAGGACATTTTTTTGATATTTTGTTCAGATAGAGTGGGAGGGAGGGAGGGAGAGAGAGACAGAGAGAGAGAGAAACATCAATGTGAAAGGGACACATTGAGTGGCTGCCACCCACACGACCCAACCAGGGCCGGAGACACACTGCAACCGAGGTACGTGCCCCTAGCG